AGTGTGGAAAGAGCTTCACCCGTCGTACTTATCTTACTTTGCATTATCGGATCCATACAGGAGAAAAGCCCTATAAATGCCTAAAGTGTGGAAAGAGCTTCACCCGTAGTACTTCTCTTACTTTGCATTATGGGATCCATACAGGTGAGAAGCCCTATAAATGTATGGAGTGTGGAAAGAGCTTCCCTAAGAGCACTGATCTTATTTTCCATAAAAGGATCCACGCAGGGGGAAAGACATATACATGCCTGGAGTGTGGAAAGAGCTTTATTAAGAACTCTCAACTTATTTACCATAGTAGGACACATACAGGGGAGAAGCCATATAAATGCATGGAATGTGGAAAGAGTTTTTTTACGAACAATTATCTTAATAAACATAAAATGACCCATACAGGGGAGAAGCCACATAAATGCATGAAGTGTGGAAAGAGCTTTATTCGAAACAGCGATCTTATTTACCATAGTAGGACACATACCGGGGAGAAGCCATATAAATGCATAGAGTGTGGAAAATGCTTTTCTGTCTCTAGTAGTCTTACCCGCCATCAAAAGACTCACACAGGGGAGAAGCCTTATAAATGCGTTGAATGTGGAAAGTGTTTTTCTACGAAGAATTATCTTAACACCCATAAAAGGATCCACACAGGGGAGAAGCCGTATAAATGTATGGTGTGTGGAAAAGGTTTTATTATGAATAGTTATCTTAACCTTCATAAAAGGACCACACAGTGTAAAAGCCCTATAAATCTGTGAAATATGGAAACATCTTCAAGAGGAGCAATGGGCGAATGTTCCATATACAGATACATTTGGGTGATAATCTGTTTAACTGTTAGGTTTAGTTGTTGAAATATATGCATTTCCTAATTACATCTACTGAATTTTTTGACTCTGACCTTCACAATTGGACACCACAGAGTGATGAATTTACTAATGGAAACCAAATGCTACGCATGTGGTGTTTTAATGATGAGCAGTGGATTTTTCTAGCTACTGTCATTTGAAGGCCACCAATGGCATTTTATTTAAAAAAAGAGAACATCTTTTTTTCTTCATGTTAATCCCATTTCCAATTGGATCATAATAAAAAAAGCCCAAATCCCCAATGAAACTTTATAAAAGTTTAATTTTTGAGAGCAAGCATCGGGCTGAGCTAGCAAAATGTCATTCCAGGCATAAATCACGAAAGATGTCAGATGCCTGTCTTTGCTTTCTTTGAAGCTCGCTAGTAACTGCCATAACTAGGAACGGGACAACTGCCATAACTAGGAGGAAGGGGACATTTGGCAGGGGAAGAGCACTGGAAGCGGATTGTTATAAGAATTTGGGGAGTATGGACATGAACAGGAGCCAGTGGTACCAAACTGAGCCATCTTCCTACCCTCAAGGACACCAGCCCTGGGAAAGGAATTATATCTGCTGGTGAGGC